GGGGTAGTGTGGGTACTTAAAGTGCTGTGGTACATGCAGGATGAATGAAGTATCTAGCTATTCTCTTCTGCTTCAGTCCATCATGCTGCTGTTAAAATGCTTTCCTAGTGAAACTGCCCTAGCTCAGCATATTGGTGACGAAGAATCCAGGCACTCAGGTATCGAGGCAGTTTTTGAGTTCCAGAACAGCCTGATCTATATGGTGGGCCTTGTCTCCAAGACAGAACCCCACCTATGCCTTTAGAAACACTCTGGGTCTTCCTATGTAACTTAAAGTTTATCTTCTTTACCTTGGTATGCAAAGAAGTATGTTGCATTCTGGTCCTGGCCTAAGTATAACTCTTGTCCTGCTTTGCCTTCTGTTGCTGTGATAAAACACTGACCAAAAGTGGCTTGGGAAGGAAAGGGCTTATTTACCTTAAACTTTGGTGTTAACAATCTATCGTTGAGGGAAGCTAGAGCAAGAACCAAAGCGGAGATCATGGAGGGACGCGTTCTTACTATAGCTTGCACCCGTTGCTTGGTCAGCCTGCTGTCCACAGTGAGCTGGGCCCTTCTGCATCATTTATTAATCAAGAAAGTGGTTCCGTAGACTTGCCTACAGTTTCATGAGGGCCTTTTTCTTATTTGAGGGTCCCTCTTCCCAGATAGCATCAACTTGTGTAAAGTTGGGGGGAAAAAAAGCCAGCCCAGCCCTTTATTTAGCCTGAGTCACTGCCACGATACTCTGTGTATCCTCTTGTTCTTGGCTTTATAGTTCCCACTGCTCCCTGCCTGTTGTAGTCATCCATTTTCTTAGTTCCTTTGGCCTGTACACTGCACTCAGTCCATAATGACTCCACCCACCAGGACCTAACTTCTTTGACACTTCCAGAAGAAGTTTTCTCCTCACCCCTTAAGACAAACAAACAAACAAACAAACAGATAGCAACAACAAAAACCCAAGGTCTTGCTGTGAAGCCCAGAGTGACATCAAACATGGCATGTTCCTGCCTCTGTTTCCTGAGTGCCTGCATTATAGTTCTCTGCCATGCCTAGTTCATGCCTTCTCTGCTCTCCTCCCGGGAAGTCTCGGGAACTTTATTAGAACCTCTTTTCCAGTGCTCTGTGTGTTTGTGGTGCATGCACGCTACTCACCATGTGTGGAGATGCTCTCTTATCCCAGGTGGAAGGATTTAGTGCAGTGAGGGCATCAAGCTGTGTGAAAAAGTTTGCTTTTGGAGCTGCGAGGGTTTGTTTTAAATTATAACTATGCCAGCTGTGCAGTGTTGCCAAGTTTCTTCACCTGGAGGATTCTTGGTCTTGTTCTCTTCAAAATGAAAGTGCTGTGGCTCTGTTGTTGCTTAATTGTTTTGTTTTTTGAGGAGTATTGAATGCTAGACACAATGAGATTATAGCACATAGCATGGAGCCTGACATGAAGAACAGAGGGAGTTCCAGGACAGCCAAGGCTACACAGAGAAACCTTGTCTTGAAGAAAAAAAAAAAAAGTATTTGTTGAATCTCATTTTTGAGACTATGGATAAGAAGAAGCTTTTTTGTTTTCATTTTTTTTAAGATTTATTTTTTATTTATACAGTGTTCTGCCTGCATGTGTGACAGCAGGCCAGAGGCGACATCAGATTTCATTACAGATGGTCATGAGTCACCATGTGGTTGCTGGGGATTGAACTCAGGACCTTTAGGAAGAGCAGTCAGTGCTCTTTACTCTGAGCCATCTTTCCAGCCCAGAAGAAGCTATTTTAAATTTAGGGCTGGAACTCACAGAGCTCCATTTGCCTCTGCCTTCGGAGTGCTGGGATCAAAGGTGTGCGCTACCGTGCCCAACCTGAGTGTCTTCTTTCGTATGATGAAGCAATTAATGAGAATCCCAGCATGAGAAGGGGAGTACCATTAAAAAACAGCTTGTGAAAACCAGATTGCAGGGCTATTCCCCATTTCTTGGGCTGCAGAGACTCTAGATGGACTACAGTATGCCTGCCGGCTTCCAGTCCTGGGGAGCTTGGTAGTGACCTTGAGTGGGACCAGTGGTAGTGGATTGTAGTTACTAGGGCTGTGGGTAGACAGAGGGTTGCATACAGTGAATAACTGGGTGGAGTGTGTCTTAGCATTACTGTTGCTGGGATGAAACACCATGACCAAAGCAACTTGGGGAGGAAAGGGTTTGGCTTACTTTTCTACATCACTGTTCATCAAAGGAAGTCAGGGCAGGAACCTGGAGGCAGGAGCTGATGCAGGGTCCACAGAGGACTGCTACTCGCTGGTTGTATCCCATGGCTTGCTCAGCCTGCTTTTTCACAGAACCCAGGACCGATAGTCCAGGGATGGGACCACCCACAATAGCCTTGGCCCTTTCCACATCAGTCATTAATTTGGAAAATGCCCTACAGGCTTGCCCACAGCCCAGTCTTACAGAAACATTTTCTTCATTGATGCTCCCCCCTCTGATGTCTCTAGCTTGTGTTAACGAAGCAGCCAGCACAGAGCGCTTTGGGACCCATGCTCCCAAGTGTCTTAGGGACTGAAAAATGTCAGGGGAAACCAGAGGAACATATGCAGCTATTGAGTAAGCCAGACTTCCAGGCCCCTGTGATCTTAAGGCTTTGGTCTTGTGCCACAGGCTCATCCCTGATCCTCTTCCGAAATGGGCTGGTGGCTGAGTCACCATCTATTCTTTGCATTTTCTTCTACTGTAATTGATGGGAATAGTCTTTAAAGTACCACTTTCCAACAAATCCCAAAGGAATTTGTTTTAGAGGTTAGGCCCTCTTGAGCATATGGAAGGTACTCAAACATGACCTGGCAATCAGGTAAGGAGGAACTCCCAGTTCTCTAAAGAGCGATCCTGTGTGGATACAGATCACGCCTGAGCAGGAGCTTGAGCTCTGTGATCTCGAAGCATGAGCCACACTGAGTCTGTGGTGGCTGCTTAGGAGCAAGGTTCTTAACTGAAGGCAAACATTAGGTCCTGTGCGGAAGTGCTGAGCAGCCCTGGTTGCTGTGTGCCCCAGCCCATTCTTCCTGAGTGTGTTAAAGTAAATGAGACCCTCCCTGTAAGACCTTTCCAGTTTTTAGGACACTTTTTTCTTTTCTTTTCGTTTCTTTCTGGTGTTTTTGGTTGGTTGATTTGTTTGTTTTCGTTTTCTTTTTCTCTACAGCCCAGGCTAGATTAGATTTCTTTCTTTCTTTCTTCCTTCCTTCCTTCCTTCCTTCCTTCCTTCCTTCCTTCCTTTCTTTCTTCTTCTTCTTCTTTTTTTTTTTTTGCCTTTTTTGAGACAAGGTTAGCTCAGGCTAGTCTCAGACTTTCGATCCTCCTTCCTCAGGGGGATTTTGGGAATGCACCATCACTCCCAGTGTTTTTTGTTTTTAATTTAAATTTATTTTTTTTATAATTCATTCACTTTACATCCCAATTGTAGCCTTCTCCCTCGTCTCCTCCCAGTCCCACCCATCCTCACTCATATCCCCTACTCTCCCCTATTTCTCAGAAATGGGGAGTCCTCTTCCCCTATCATCTGACCCAGCCTACCAAGTCTCATTAGGATGCTTGCGTCCTCTTCCCCTGTGGTTTAGCTTTCTTAAAGACCAGTGATTCTCAACTTGTGGGTTGAAACCTCTTTGTGGGGGTCAAATAACCCTTTCACAGGATGACCTAAGACCATTGGAAGTCACAGATATCTACATTATGATTCATAACGGTAGTAAAATGACAGTTATGAAGCAGCAACAAAAGGAACTTTATGGTTAGGGGTTGCCACCCCATGAGCAACTGTATTAAAAGGTTGCAGCATTAGGAAGGTTGAGAACTACTGTCCTAGACCAGTGTCTTCATTGGTCAGTTATGTTGGCTTTTTTTAAGTTCAGGGCCAGTCGTCAGATCAATTTGGCAATCTCAGGGGACAATTTGGGAGCCTTTTGGCACTTTCATTTTTGTGGTGCCATACTGGAGGATAAACCTAGGGTCTTGTACATGCTGGGCAAGCACTCTATCAACTGAGCCAGATCTGCTCCCCCCTCATCCTCCTTTTCAAAAATTTGAGACAGTGTCTAAGTCGCCCAGGCTGGCCTTGAACTTGTCATCCTCCTGCTTCAGTGTTCTGGGCAGCTGGGCTTAGTGCCAGGCCCACATGTGGGAGCAGCATGGAGACTGTACCTCCCATTTTGCTCTAGTCACTGCTCTTCCTATAGGGCTTCTCAGTCAGGAATAAGGACCTTTCTGCCCTTTTCTGATGTGTTGTAAGTGAATCCCTTGCCAGGGGACACCTGTCAGATTCCACTGTTGAAGCTGGCACTGGCTTCTCCAGGCTGTCCCTGCAGGCTTTGGGAAGGTGTTTGTTGCTGCTTCCTCCTGGCTTGATCTGGGAGGCCTAGGTTCTGAGAGGGTGGAAGAGCCCCTGTTAGAGGCTGGGGAGCTGGCTGTGCTGTTTATCTTTGTGGGGTCCTCCGAGGGCTCCCTGGGAAGTGCCAGCTGTCTGGCCTTGTAGAAAGTGTAAGGTGGCAAGGTGCCACCTTTCCCTTGACTGGCCCAGCTCTGGGCTAGGTCACACACTGCTCCATTGTACTGTGTGTTCTGATGCAGCTCTTGTCACAGTCTTTGACCCCCAGCTTGTCTTTTACAGTTCTTTCCCTCAGAGCCCATGGGAGGTGGTGGATTACACTGTTGGCATAGGCCTGGGTGGGTGTCAGCTGCAGCTGTGGGGGGCTTGTTCTCATTAGCCAGTGTTCAGAGTCCTGGTGCAGCCTGGCAGCAGTGTTTGGGAGCTTGGGAAACATAGAGCTGCCTTTCACAATAGCTGCCTTCTCTTGACCAACCAGAGAGCCTTGTTGTGTGGGTTAGTAAGCTGGACTCACTGTGGGCAAGGTTTAGTGATGGTCTTCCACAGGAGGGCTTTCTGGTGGCCGGAAGCCTCCACAGAGTCGGAGGTGCTTTCCCGCACAAAAGAGTATGGTGTGTACCTGAGGAACCCTGCAGCTTGGTCTTCTGTGCTCTCTCTTTGCAGCTCCGGAGTTGGGCTGCTCATGCACCAAGCTGTCTGTTTATATGGATTGCCTGGAGGGCGCCTACCATGGGTCTGTTGCTAACACCACTAACCAGGAGAGCTGGCTGGCTGGGGAGAAGACACTAACCCCGTGAGTCTGACCTTGGCTAGCTAACCTGCCCTGGCTGCAGTAGTATCTCTCCTACATTCTCTTCCAGGCTGGCTGCCTTCTTCCCTCAGTCTAGCCTCCTCTGCTTTCTGAGTCCCTTGATTTCCTCCTCTTTTCCCTGATTTGGGCAGGGATATGCCTCCTTTGTTTTAGTTACTTTTCTGTTGCTGTGCATAACACCATGACTAAGGACACTTACAAAAGAAAGCGTTTAATTTGGCTTACAGTTTCCGAGGGTTAGAGTCTATGATGACAGGTGAAAGAACAGCAGAGAGCTCATATCTTGATCCACAACCTAGAGGGGGAGGGAGAGAGGGAAAGACAGAGACACAGACACTAGGAATGGTGGGAGTCATTTGAGACCACAAAGCCCACCTTTAGTGGTCAGTGCCACACCACTTCATCCATCCCAAACAGTTCCACTAACTGGGGACCAAGTAGTCAAATGTATGAGCCTAAGGGGGCCAGTCTTATTCAGACAGTCACACGCTGCATGGCCAGAAGAGAGGTGCCTACCACAGGACTTCTCTGCTTCTCCCCCTCTTTCATACTCTACCCCTTACTTAAGTCTCCCATAGAATGGAAGTAGTTGGTGTTTCCGTTCTGCTCTTTGCTTTTAGCAACGTGGACTTGGAGACTGTCCCTCAGTTACCATGCTGTTTCTACTTCTCTGTCTCAGAGACGGGTAGGTAGAGATAGGATAGGAATAGACATTACTTCTAGACCCCAGATAGTTTCCCTGCTTGCCAAGAGGGCGAGGGTGGATGGTCCCTCTCATTATTCTCATGCAGAAATGGAAATGAGGTTCCCTTCTTGATTGGGAAATTGAGGCTTACTTTGTCCTGACTTTGGAGACTTCTTGGTCAGAGAGAGAAGGCAGCTGAATGCCTGATTAAAGGATCTGTGTGATGGTTCAGTCCCACTGGTCACCATTGCTCTGGGAGGTGGAGTTTGGTCTCTTACCTTTTTCCATTAGGAGTGTCAGGTGGACTTTAGCCTTGAACTGGGAAGGTTGCCTCAAGCTAGACAGGGCTGGACCTAGATTTGGATTCTTCAGGCCCAGGAAAAGTCCTGGCCTCAGTGGGAGATTGGTGAGTGTTGCCTGGCGTGGAGGAGCTGCTACCCTAGGCCCTTTCCTCCATGCATGGGACAGAGAAGGGACATTGAACAATCTCAAGAAGATGAGATGCCTTGTTCTTCTGGTGGTCTAGCAGTAGCTCTTTACATACACCATGTATCCAGGCTCTGCAGGTGAGGCTGTCCTGGAGCCTTGAGACTTGAAGCCCTCCAGGCAGATTCTGTTCCTCTTGATGAAAAGGGAGAAGACAGGGACTTGGCTACATGTGGGAAGGGCATGTGTGACTATGGGGGGGGGGGGGCATAGGTGCTTCCAGGGTCCCTAAGAAATTGAGTTGGTAGGGAGTTCGTAAGCTGAAGGGGATTTGGGCTTGGTTCTGACTAGAAAAGCAAAAAGAAATGCTGGTCAGTCCTTACTGCTTTCCTTTTCTCCACCTTAGGAGAGGGCATAGAGTCTAAGGACAAGGGCAGGCCATTGACTTGGGTACTTTGAGGTTCTCTTTTTGTTGGGGAATGTTTGGTTTGCTTGGATCACCATCAGTAGTCTTTTGCCCCTTTGTTCCTGTCAGGTGTTTGCCTGATGAGAGGCTAGGCGGCTAGATAAAGTGTTTGTTCAGGTGGGGAGCCAGCTGAGTTCTCATAGGTCACCAACACGGATTCTGAGGCCTCACAATTACTGTGGTTAGAATGGTTCTCTTGTTTTTGGCCTTCAGAGTTCTGTCAGTGTATTCTGCTTAGTGTAGGCAGGGGGCCAGGTCAGAGCTACAAGCAGCTTATCCCAAGAGGGTGAGGTTGTACTTGCCCAGAGGTTTGTATAGCTATTGTAGGGGCAACAGGACTGGTCTGGGCACAGACTGGCATCTTCTACCCTGCTCATCAGCTCAGAACAGCACCTTTGCCCAGGCCCCACCCTGTGAGCTGCTGGCTGCCTGCCTGCCACGTGCCCAAGATTGCTGAGGGCTTTGCTCATGTACCTCAGGAACAGCTGCATGCCGGAAACTGGGGGCTGAGGCAAATGAGAAGGGGTAGGGGTGCAGTGGGGAAGGCTAAATCCAGCTTTGGTAGGATCAGTTCATTGTGCTAAGGACTGTTCTTTTCCCAGCATGCAGGTGGATAGGCTATATTATAATGTGGAGAGAAGGGGATCTTCATGGGCAGTTCCCAGGGCGATGCTGGGTCATTTAACCCTTGCAACGTGGTGGTTTTGTGTTTAGGGGTAGAGCCTGGATTTCAGAAGCTTCAGAATCGTCTAGGCTTGCATGGCAAGCGTGTTACCTACTCCCGTGATGTGCAACTTCCCCAAGTTGCAGAGTTCAGGAATTAGATATCCTAGGCATGTGGCTCAGGAAAGTTAAGGAGGTACCTTGTTTTCTGTGTGATCAGGGTGCTGTGATTTGCACTTATGGGGGCTTTTTAGAAGGGCTGGTGTTAGTTTTTTACCTATTTATATCCTGCTTGGTTCCCAGGGAATTAAGGCTATATACATAGCTGTCTTCATTTAGAAGGCAGCAGCAATTACTGGCTTCTCTTGGAAGCATTGCGAAAAAAACTTTAAAGATTCTTGTAGTGTGGACCTCACCCTGCTTCGAAAGGTCGGGTTCATTGAACCCTTAAGGTCCCTCGTTAACTTAGTTCATTGGCTGTGAGCAGACTTCCTCAGTAGGTTTCACAATAACTTGAGTCCAGATAAATGATATCTTTTCCTAGAGGCGATGTTGGTGACATGGCTAATGGTAGTAGTTGGGTAGATGCTGATCTGGGCCAGTGAACTATTCACACGGATAGTGCAGAGCCTGAGGAGCTAGAGGAGGCTTCTGATGGGGAAGGCTGATGTGAGAAAAGGCAAAGAACAACATTCACCTTGGATTCGGCCCTGATCCCTTTGCTGTACCAGTGGTGGGGTTGGGTGGTGATCCTTGATAGGCAAAGAGCTCGATGCCTAGGACTTCCTCTTCTGCCCCCTTGACTTGCCAGGCCTTAAGCAGACCTCAGTAGAATGGCAGAAGGCAATAGGACATTCCAGGCTTGTGGGCTTCTTTCTAATTGCTAGTGTCCCTTTGGAATACTTCTGGAAGAAGAACAAGGATAGTAGTTTGAGTGACACAGGAAGCTGAACAGGTTTTTCATAGCCCATCCATCTCCAGGTACAGTGATCTCTGGCCTCAGTGGAAGCCCCTGGCCATATCCACCCACAAAAGTGGGCAGATATGAGCTCCTTGTCCTGGCTAGTGTTTCCCTTTGAGTAATTGACACTAGGTAGCCTGTTTCTGGTCAGGTGCCCAGTGTCTTATCTGTCTGCATTCTGCTCTGCTGCTCAGTGGGTTCGCAGTGCAGATCCTCTGTGCGTGCTGAGTCCCATTTCTAATGAAAGTAGACTTTGTTCTCTGAAGGCAGCTAATCGTGCCCCATGGGCTGTAATCAGGGAGAAGGTATTTAATGCAGGGCAGGTGGCAACAAGTGGCCGCATTGACTGTCGGATTGCAACATGGCAATTACCAAGCTATCACCACCTCCTCGGCAGATATGAGGTAGTCTTTCCTCTGAGCTGATTTGGAGTAGTGAATGAATGCTGTGTAGCAGAGGAAGGAGACAGGGTTGGCTAGGGGTGGTGAGGAGAGCCCCTTCTCCTGCCTCAGGGTATTTGGCTGTCTCCCATTGCAGGGTCAGCAGGGTCACCCCAAGGAGCCACAGCCCATGCTAGGTCAGCAAGGGGCTCCACTTGGGCACAGCTCTCCTAGGACAGACCCGGCATACAAGCTGTTAGCCCCCAGCCTGAATCGTCTGATCCTGCCTCTTAGGGCCTGGGTCGTTGGGAGTGGAGTTCTTCCCTGCTCATTGCCAGATCTTCCTCCAAAAGAATCTCCTTAGGAGCTAGAGGCCACAAGGCCCCGTAGGCTGACCTTGGCTGTGGCTTGCTCATGGTGGCATGGGGATCTTAGCGCAGGGTTGGGAGTCTTCCTTGGCCTGAATTCTGGAAAGTCTGTAGGTGAAAAGTTGTGCTCAGTGGAGGCTGCAACTAGTAGCTGAGGCTTCCTAGTGTAACTGCTCTCATGCCTTTTTACTTACCTTTTTATCATCCCTAGCTTGGGGCCACCAAATCCAGCTGCTCCTCTCGCTTCCCAGGTCTGTCTCTAGTCCAGGATAATGAGCTGCCAGGACCATTGTCTGTCCAGAGCTGCCCCTTACAGGTTGGATCCAGAGCACTCAGTACATTTTGGAAATTGAAGCAAAGGCCCAGGTGTCCCAACATGCCCTGATATTTATGAACATGGGACAGGGAGTGGCACAGATGCCTTGGGGAGTAGCATTAGGGAACCAGCAGGTTCCCTGGTAGATTGTTCGTTCCTGCTTCCCTAGTCAGAAGTGTTTCCCTCCTTGTGACACTGATAGACCTTTCACCCCACCTTCATCCTTAAAGTCCCTATCTGCATTTATTCTCTAGGTCCTTGCCACACCCACACCATCCCCGACCCAGCAAACCAGATTGCCTCTAGCCTCAGAGAAGCCTGAGACTGAAAACATGCTCATAGCTGCAGCCAGGGCTTACTGGAAGGACAAGGCAGGGCAAGCTATAGGATGTGGTGTTCAGGGAGGCTGCTCTGCCTGCAGATAGAATTACCAGGTACCTGAATGTGTCTGTGTCTGCCCTGCCTGCCCACTCTTTTCACAAGTGTCCTGGTACCTAGAAGAGACTGTGAGCCTTGGCAGGAATTGGAGTAGGTATGTAAAAAAGAGGCTGAGGTTGGACACAAAAGCACACCAGAAAACCTGCAGAGTGAAGGGTCTTCAGCCTTCTGGGGAGGAAATAGGAAGGTCATAGAGAACTGCTTTGTGTCAGGAGAAGGCCAGCTCCTGGGAGCTACCCATCATATTCTAGAGGTTCCACTGCCTGTCTCCCCTTTAGTCCATGGCTTGGATCCTACCTTCTTTTCCAGGCATACACACCCACACATACACACCTTTGAGTATTAGGGCCTGGGTCCCTACACTGGTTTGGGACCTTCTGGGCCTCTCCCTCAGGCCACAGGCATCCTGTGGTTGTATTCCTACTCCAAGGCCCTCTGTGGTTGTATCTTGTTTGTTTCCCCTTACCCCAGGAATGTGGTGTCCTTTCTGGCCCTCCCAGATTCCTGTGCAAGGAGTCAGCCTGACAGCATGCTGCTTGTGCCCTGTGGGGACACGTTCTGCCTCCTGTCAGAGGGGCGGAGGCTGGCGGCTGGCAGCTCATGCTTTACTATCCAAGCGCTCCCCCAAACCCAGGCCAGGGACCTTATAGAGGAGAGACTACTCGTGCTCCCCGCCCTCCTTTGCCCCCACCCTGCTGCCCCAGGCCCTGCTGGAATGTGACAGGAGTCATGGTCAGGGCATGTCCCAACAGTAGGAACACATGCTTTAGCCCGCAAGGCTGCCTTCAGCCCCCAGCTCTGTTTGGGTTGATGGGGGTGGGAAGATTTTTTTTTTTTAAATGCTCAGCCACCTAGAGTTACTGTTTCCACTGATCACTGTGGTGGCTGCTGCCCCCATGCTGCAGCCCAGCTTACTACAGGTGCTTCTCAGAATCCCAAGATGAGCGGACCTGGCAGGTCAGGTCACTTGGCTGTGGGCATAGGTGTAGAACAGGCTTTTGCAGTTGGTACCAGGCACCAGCGTCGGTTTGCCAGAGCAGCCCTGGGCCTGGAAACACCATCTCAGCTATCAGACTTGGGATCAATTTTTTTTCTGTTAATGTTTATTTTGAGTGCATGTGTGAGGCACGTGCTTTTCACAGCACACATGTGGAGGTCACAGGCTCACCTGTGGGAGTCGGTTCTCTCTGCCACCATGTGAGTCCCAGAAATCAAGCTTGGGTCAGCAGGCTTGGCAGCGGGCACTTTTTCCTGGCGTGTCATCCTGCTAGTGCCACCCGTTGTTTTATGTATCGGTAGTTCTTGGCCCCAGCACTGTGGTGTTGCCAGCTCCTTGTTATAGTAGCCGCCCTGGGTGAGGTAGGATGATTAGTTGATATCCTGGCCTTGACTCACCAGTGGTACATCTCCCTCTGCAGATTTTGAACTAAAAATGTCTCTAGACATTTTTCAGTTGTCCCTGGGAGAAACAGGGATGAACTCACCCCAACTGAGAATTATTGCTCTGAGATGCTGAGCTTCAGGTCTTCTTTCTTCGCCCTTTGCTCCCTGCCAAATTTATTGACCACCATTGTACACAGGTGGTCTCTGGGCTCCTTGTGGAACCATTGCTGGGGCCAATCGCCAGTACCATAATCATCTTGCTCCTTTGCTGAGCCCTTTGTAGTCTCATTTGCAATCTATGTTTCCCAAATTTCAGCTCTAAGAAGCCTAGGAGAATAGCAAAACAAATAGGAGTAAGAATAGTACCAGGCCTATTCCAGAATGGGGCATGTGATAAGTTGAGGCAGTAAACACCGGTGTATAGACACAGGTGCTGTCTAGAGAGAGGCAGGGACTCATTGTGTTGGTTGTTTTTTTTTTGGTTTTCGCTGTGTAACACAGGCCGCTGTCAGACTAATGATCTTCCTATTTCTGCCGCTTTCTTCTAAAACCCTCTGTCCTGTGGTCTCTCTGCTCACTGCTTTCTGGGAGCCTTTCAGGTACCAGACTGAACAGGCAGGCAGATGACACCTGGTTTCCACTTTCTTCCCTTCTCCGGTTTCAGAAACTCTTGGCTAGAGGAAGTGGAGGGGCCGTGGGATGTGGAGAGCCAAAGGCTAACTCCAGGACAGCAGAACAGAGAGAGCTGCCAGCGAACAGACGGTATGTCCCAATGAGGCCTGTATTCCCCATGGTTGTTCTCTGGGAGGCTGGCGGGTGAGGGGCCATACAGGTGCTCTCTTTCAGTGGGAGCTAGTACAAAAAGAATATGTAGGCCAGAGGGACTTGGCCTTTGTTGCTAAGTGTCCAGAGTGTGCTCTCAAGCTTGGAGACCCTCATGCAGGAGCCAATATCTTCAAACTTCTAAGATTTGTTCATAATTTATAGAAAGCAAACCTGAACTTAACATTACCTAAGTGCTAGGCACTATTTTTGTTTTAAACAGCCTTACTATGTAGCCCAGACTGACATCAAATTTAGGACCCTCTTGCCTCTGCCTCCCCAGTGCTTGGGATTACAAGTGTGTATCACTAGCTGTCTCTGTTTGCTTGCTTGCTTGCTTGCTTGCTTGCTTGCTTGCTTGCTTGCTTG